GCGGAGGGCTGGGTGGCAGTGGGTGGCTGGCTCATGCCGTGCCAGGTACAGGGTCTGCTGGCTGGGTGCTGGCAGGCTTGCAACTGGCACGGGCACCATAGCCAGACCGTGGCCCTTTAAGGGCACTGGGGCCAAGACGGGGGCAGAAGAGTTCCCCTGGCTTGGCCCAGAGTGGCCACCTGGGAAAGCTGGGAAGGGCTAGCCTCCAACTAGTTCGAATTAAGTAGCTACACAGCCCTTAAGTCGAACTACTTAATTCGAACTATGCATTAGTCCTTGTAGAATGAGGTTTACCTAGTTCGAATTAAGTGCTCCGCTAGTTCGAATTAAGTTCGAACTAGTGGTTTCTATGTGTAGCACATATGAAAGTTAATTTGAACTAATGGCTATTAATTCGAATTAACTTTGTAGTGTAGACATACCCTGACATAGGTAGACCTTCTGGTTAGGAATACAGAAGGAAATCAGTTTTCATAAGCATTGAATCCTTGGCCTTCCCGTGTCAATCCGTGTGATCATTAAGATGATGCATTTTGTGACATGGATATTCTCCAGTTTTTCGGGGCAGGATCTCTGGTTATGATACACCATGGAACGTATAGAGGTACAGCTGAACTGTGGCAACTGCACCACTATAAGGTCTCCTGTGTAGCTGGTCTATATCGGCAGGAGAGAGACATTTCCCACTGGCATAATTAACCTATCCCCAATGAGCGGCAGTGCTCCTCCCATAGTGCTGTCCACACCAGTGCTTTTGTCAGTGAAACTTATACAGGTCAATGGATTTTTTTTCCACATCCTTGATCCTTGCCAACAAAAGTGCTAGCATAGAACAAAGTCTCTGCTTCTGCTGTTCATCATAAATTATTCAGGATCGGTGTTTTCATTGTCCATGTAAAGTCCTGAGTTTGGGGAAAATGTGATTTATCAATTGATAAATGTAAAAATGGGGATGTTTTGATAATCTTGTCATTTTTTTCCCATAATACTTTCAAGGTGGGATATCTGTCAAAACCAGTCCTTTGCCATGAAGGGTTTTAATTTCAACAAATTAGCATTTTCCAACAAAAAAACATTTTGACCAAAAAAAATTTCTCAACATCTTTAATAATGAGCTTTCCATTAAAAGTACTTTTATAAGGCGGGATAAAATTCCATACTTTTAGGCAGAAGCAAGAGTTCATTCTAAATAGAGTAAATAAGGATGTATTTTTGTAGATATACATTTTTGTACTGTAATTAATCCAAGAACTGTGCCAATTTGCGGGCAGTGATTTTTATAGTGGCCTGGATTTCACCCTTGAGAAAAGGTTGTGAAACATTCAAAGATGGACTAACACAGCTGCATCTCTATCACTATTAATAAAAGACCAAGGACAGGGTAGGCCCACTGCTTAGTGAGGAGGGAGAAGCAGTAACAGGGAACTTGGAAATGGCGGAGATGCTCAATGATTTCTTTGTTTCAGTCTTCACCGAGAAGTCTGGAGGTGTGCCTAACGTAGTGAATACAAGCAGAGAGAGGGTAAGTTTAGAAGATAGGATACACAAAGAACAAGTTAAAAATCACTTAGGAAAGTTAGATGTAGGCAAGTCACCAGGTCCTGATGAAATGCATCCCAGGATACTCAAGGAGCTGATAGAGGAGGTATCTGAGCCTTTAGCTATGATCTTTGAAAAATCATGGCAGACAGGGGAGATTCCAGAAGACTGGAAAAGGGCAAATATTGTGCCCATCTATAAAAAGGGGAATAAGAACAACCCAGGAAACTACAGACCGGTCAGTTTAACGTCTGTCCCAGGGAAGATAATGGAGCAGGTAATTAAGGAAATCATATGCAAACACTTGGAAGGTAATAAAGTGATAGGGAATAGCCAGCATGGGTTTATGAAGAACAAGTCATGCCAAACTAATCAGATAGCTTTCTTTGATAGGATAACGAGCCTTGTGGATAAGGGAGAAGCGGTGGATGTCATATACCTAGACTTTAGTAAGGCATTTGATACGGTCTCGCATGATATTCTTATTGATAAACTAGGCAAATATAACTTAGATAGGGCCACGATAAGGTGGGTGCATAATTGGCTGGATAACCGTAGTCAGAGAGTTGTTGTTAACGGTGCTAAATCCTGCTGGAAAGGGATAACAAGTGGAGTTCCGCAAGGGTCTGTTTTGGGACCCGTACTATTCAATATCTTCATCAATGATGTAGATATTGGGATAGAGAGTACGCTTATTAAGTTTGCAGATGATACCAAACTGGGTGGGGTTGCAACTTCTTTGGAGGATAGGGACATAATTCAAAATGACCTTAGCAAGTTAGAGAAATGGTCAGAGGTAAACAGGATGAGGTTTAATAAAGAGAAATGCAAAGTGCTCCACTTAGGAAGGAACAATCAGTTCCATACATACAAGATGGGAAGCGACTGTCTAGGAAGGAGCATGGCAGAAAGGGATCTAGGGGTCATAGTGGACCACAAGTTGAATATGAGTCAACAGTGTGATGCTGTTGCAAAAAAAGCAAATATGATTCTAGGTTGTATCAACAGGTGTGTTGTAAGCAAAACTCGTGAAGTCATTCTGCCGCTCTACTCTGCACTAGTTAGGCCTCAGCTGGAGTACTGTGTCCAGTTCTGGGCGCCACATTTCAAGAAAGATGTGGAGAAATTGGAAAGGGTACAGAGAAGAGCAACAAGAATGATTAAAGGTCTAGAGAACATGACCTATGAAGCCAGGCTTCATGAACTGGGCTTGTTTAGTTTGGAAAAAAGAAGATTA